CCCCATTTTGGTCCCTGAACTATTGTACGGACCCTCGATTTGGTCCCTGAACTAAAGAAATCCCTGATTTAGTCCTTAAACTATTGTACGGACCCTGATTTGGTCCCCACTGTTTATAATTTGGCCTAACTTGGTCCTTGAACTATTGTACAGACCCCCAATTTAGTCTTTACTGTTTACAATTTCACCCCAATTTGGTCATTGAGCTATTATTTAACAAAAGGACCAAGTTGGGGTTAAATTGGTAAACAGTAGGGACCAAATTGAGCATCTGTACAATAGTTTAGGGACTAACTTGGGAGTCCGTACAATAATTTAGGGATCAACTCAGGGTCCGTACAATAGTTCAAGGACCAAATTAGGGATTTCTTTAGTTCAGGGACCAAATAGGGGTCCGTACAATAGTTCAGGGACCAAAATAGGGTTTAACCTTTGAAAAATTATGTCTTGTCATTTTTTTTTGATGGATCATCGTGCGCAGCTTACAAATGAGTTTGCAGGTCACTTGTGAGTTCTATATATACATATATATTATATATATGTGCAATTAGTATTTATTTTTTTAATTAAAAAATGTTATTTTAAAATTATATTATTTTAATAAAATAACATAATAAATGATTGAAAATACTCTAATTTATATTTTAAAATAAAATATTTTAATTTTTTTAATAAAAATTTATTAAAATGATATAATTTTAAAATAATTTTTGTTATAATATTTAAAAGAAAAAAACAAATAAGTACTATTATATATATATATATTAAAAAAATGATATTTTTCAGTTTAAATTACATAAAAAAATATAGTTGGAGTTATAAAAATAAAAGTATCAAAATACCCTTAATACATGATTAAATTATTTATCTTGCCTCTACCTAACACATACAGGCTAGAGGGGCGAAAGTAGCACTGATGGCAGAGCCAGTGGCATTGGATGGAGCAGACGGTGCTAAGGTCCTCATCGCTGATGTCCAAGTCGAATCGGGGAATTAGGCCACCTCTCTATCAAAATCTCGAAACCCCAGAACCAGAAACCATTAGCTATG